CTATCCTGGGCAGCTGCAGGCTCAGGGCCGCTCAGTCTCAGCCCCAGCTCAGGGCCACTGCAGACCTGGAGCCTGAGCTCAGGAAGCGCATGGTCAGCTGTCATGTTTTATTACACAGTTTGAAAAGAGGCCATGGGGCATAGGGGCTAAGGGCAGCCAGGGTCGTAGGAAGGGAGGGGCATGGTAGTGGTGGCGGTAGGTGGGGAGTCATCGTTTGGTCTTGGCGTCTTCTCGGATCTTCCAGATGACAAGGTGCATGCAGGCGCTGGCATCCTCGCTGGAGCTGTGCCCGTCCACTGCAGGGCAGACATGACAAGCACAGTCCTGACTTTCCGGACGTTTCCCCAGCCCCCACCCTGGACCCAGGCTCCGCACCATTGTCTTGGATGATCTGTCTGAGGTAGTCGGCCATGAGGTTCCGCAGGGAGCGCTTGTAGGGCAGGCCCAGGCGATGTGGGAACAGCACTGACGTGTCCACGACCGTGCCATGGATCACCTACAGGGAGGAGGGTGGATAATGGACAGGACCTGGTAGGCAGGGCCTCCCATCCTCAGCCACAGAAGGTACAGACAGACACCTTAAGGGCTAGCAGGTCACTCTCCAGGCTGTGTCCGATGAGGATGGTGTCAGCGCTGAACATGCTCAGCAGAACGGCCTGCACATCCCGCAGTGTGATACTCGTGTCTACAAGGTCGGCCTCTGTCACCCCTGAGAACCTGCAGAGGGCCAGATGTGAGAGGGGCGCCGGGCCGGGCAGGACAGAAGCAGGGCTGAGGTCCCGCGGGAGGCCGGGACACACCTGGTGTTGTAGTCAACAACTTCATTGTCAGGCTTGACAAAGGTGTCGTACACGACCTGCATGTCTGTGTCCACGACTGTGACGCGGGTCAGCTCCAGGCCATATGTAGTGTAGGACTGCAGGCATGAGATGGGCACCAGATGCAGTTGGCTGCCCAGGCTCACCTCTCCCCTCTGTGGCTAGCCATGGCCGCTGCTCAGACCCCGTGATGACACCAGGAAGGCAACGTAGCAGAGAGAGGTGTGGGCTGGAAACTCAGAGAAGCCTTTTCAAGTGGGCTGAGAAGACTGCCCCTCCCCCCAGGCCACTAGCCTGATAGTGCAAGACAGCCATTGAGATAGGGCATTGGTGACAGCTCTCAGCCAGCTTCCCTTCCTCACCTTCCCAGAGTGGACCCAGCTGCACACAGCACCCAGGTTCCGGAGACTCCAGACTCACCATCTCACAGTCGAGGGCGAAGACTCCTGCATGGGAATCTTCTGGTAGCTCCTTCTGGAAGGTGCGCACAAAGCCCTCCAGGTTCTCCTTCCGGCCGTCCTGCACGTGTTGCTGGGGAACAGGGGAGTGAGCAGCAGGGCAGGGACAGGCCACATGCGACGCTAGGGGACTTCCCTGCCCTGGCTAGGTCTGGGATCAAGTGCCTGTGGATGCGGGTGGGCCCAGTGTGCTCCTGACTGGAAGGGCTGAGTGGGATCACATAACAAGCCTGAACATAGCGCCCGGCTGTGACCCTCAACCCCAGTGCAGAAGCTATGAGCAGGGCATGGCAGCAGCAGGCCTTACCTTGGCGACCTGACAGCCCGCAGAGCCGACTGCAGCGGAGCAACACATGTACTGGGTCTCCCAGCCCCCAGCCACTGCAGAGAGAGAGAGAGCAATGGTGTTCAGGGCACCGCCCAGACAGGGGCCAGGACTCAGCGAAGGGATCTAGCCAACAGTGCCTCAAGCAGATGCAGGCCCGGGAAAGGCCCCCTTGGAGCCAAGCAGAGCTGCTCTGGAGGAAAATCTAGATCACAGAAGGCCAGGGCCTTCCCGTGGAAGTGGGGTGGGGTGGCCAGGAGGGTGTAGGCAGTGGCCCAGCCTTACCTCGGTTCCGCCGCAGTCGCCCCCAGTGGTAGTGACACTCCTCACTGCGCACACAGCGGCCCGAGGAGGACACAAGGTACTCGGTGCCACAGCGACAGCAAATTCTGCAGGAGGCTGGGGGTGAGGACAGATGGACAGAGAGCACGTGGGCAAGAGGCTGGCACCCAGCACCACTGATGCCCCAACTCAGCGAGAAGCTCCCCACTCAGTGTTCCTGGCTGAGGGCCCTACAGGAAGAGACTCACGGTCTTTGGGCTTCTTCTCCTCGGCTGTGAAGATGACGGCGCCCCCTGGGCGCTCAGGGTGGGGGAAAGGATAGCCATTCTCCTTGAGCTGCTCCGGGGTGAGCAGGTATTCCCTGAGACGGCTGTACAGAGTATTCCCTGTGGGGACACCGGGTGTCGGTGCTGCAGGGGATAAGGGGACATGCGCACACACACGCATACACACTGCTGTACTGAGCAGTCCCTATAGGGGCACTGGCTGTCACTACTGCAGAGGAGGAGGGACAAGATATGGAACAGGGCAAGGTCAGGACACACAGAGGAAGGTGTGGGCCAGCAGAGGTGCCAACTCACCTTTCAGATCCTCCACCCGGGGGCTGCTGGGGCGGCTCAGTGAGAAGCTGGTCTTGGCTGCCAATTTGCCCCCCAGCACCACCTCATGGGACACAACCCTGCGGCCACTGGCTTCTAGAAGGAAGTGCAGAGAAGGCAGGGGTGGGGTGGGGTGAGCCAGCCACACTCTCAGCCCTCATCACCTCACTGCATGCCACTCCTAGCCATCACCTCCTTGCATGTACACGACCTCCTGCCTACAGAGTCCCCGCTGGGAAGGGAAGGCAAGGCAGGACAAGTCACCCCAGGACTGAGCAGTTCCCCAATCCATGCTCCGGGTGGACAGGATGGGCCCACTGTTCCTAACGGAAGGTGAGGCAGGGGCACGCTGCAGTTACTCAGGAAGTTACTCAGGAAGATTTTGAGGCTTTGAGCTGTCACTGCCTCCAAAGGCCACCCCGACCCTTCCAGTGGGTGGGGGAGAAGCTAGCGGAGGCTAGGTGCTGTACAGGCAAGCGAGATCACTGTGGTGACTGCCTTACGTGGCCTCTCAGGGGACAGAACAAAACATCTTAACCCTGTCTCGTAGCAAAGGCGGTGCTCAAGCACTCCCTGTGAAGAGGTCGCGGGCACCATTAGCGGAGGCCCTCCGTGGGATGGGCAGAGGGAACCTCAGGCAGCAGCCTCCATGTGGGGTACTGGGGACAGTCCCTGCTGTGCAGCCCAGAAGCCCCCAGGTCTGGGCAGGACCCTCCCCCTCCCTGCAGAGCTGCCACTCACTGCTGAGGCTGGGCACGGTGTTGGGGACCAAGCCCCTCAGCTTCTTAAGGGTGTTCACAGCCACATTCAGGTATATGTTCTTGCTGGGACTGCGCTCATATGCCACCTTTTCCTCGTTCAGTGCCTGCGTAGGACACAGTGGCACCAGGAGCATGAGCAGAAGGCCGGCTAAACTGGGATGACAGCAGGGGATGCAGGGCCAGGGTGAGCCCCACACAGATCTCTGCCCGTGCACTCAGGGCACACTGGCTAGGAAGAACCTGCCGCCCCCGAGGAAGTGGCACAGGCAGTCTGGACCGAGATGCCTGGATGAGAGCCAGGGTGTGGCTTCAGCTCAAGGCCACAGTGCCCAGGGCCCCTGTTCTGCCTGCTAAGGGCCGTGTACTCCGGGGCCCACCTTCTCAATGGCCTCCTGGTTGGACGAGCAGAACTTGAGGCACTCCTCGATGAACAGGTTGAGATAGCGCTGGCGGACCACAGTGGGGACCTTGCCGCCAAATTCTTTTGGGATAATGGGCTTCTTTAGACTCTGGAGGATAGAGACCCAGGGGAGAGGGTCGGGGTGGGAGAGGAGTTAGGACACAAAGCTTCTACATAGGAAAGGGTTGTCCACAGCACGAGGCCAGCATGAACTCTAGAGGGCAAGGCTGGGGGATTGCTTGGGTGTTAGCACCTGCACAGTCTGCATGAACTGTGGTCCACCCTCACTATTAGGAAACAACACACTATAAGGCCAACACAGAACCCTACTGGGGACAGTATGAGCCTTGGCCCCCCAGAGTCCAGCGATGAGGTCGGGAGGCACCAGCTGGGTGCACGGTACCTGGAGTGACGGGCTGTGGGCGATGCGCTTAGGGGTGACGGTGGTGGTGGTCTTGGATGCCATCCCTGACAATGTGCGTGTCTTCAGCGGCTGGCTGCCAGGCTCAGGACCGTGGGATGTCTGGCTGCTGCTGGTAGGTAGTGCCCTCTTGGCACCTGTGGGGGCTGGTGGGGGACAGGGGACATGAGTACAGGAGGACAGGAGGCCCATGACGGAGCTACGGAGCACCAGGAAGCTGCGGTCGTTGAGTGTGAGCAGGATGCGCATCTCACAGCGCAGCGGATGCCGGGGCACCGGGCTTGGGGTGCGGAAGGACATGGGACTCTAGCTGCTGTAGAGCAGGTCCATGGAGGTAGGGAAGGGCAACGCGGCTGTGGAGGCCGGCTCAGGCAATGCCACGGTCGGGACAGTCTGGCGAATGGCGGGGCGGGGCTGGGGCCTCTGCCGCATGTTCCAGTCCCCAACTCTGAGGCATTGACGTCTGAGGGGTAACCCTGGCTCCGAGGCACAGGACCAGAGGGCCTGGGACGCCCTGACCTGTTCATTGTGACAGGCTACCTGCCTGTCCCTGTAATGAGGTCACAAACCATACACAGTCTCCGCCCTGGCCCAGGGTGGTCAGGGATGCCCCTTAATTGTCCATGCAAGGAGTGTAGGGTGCCTGACAATCAGAGTCCCTGGAAGAAGGGGAGGAGACACTAAGGACATCCGCCCCCAGTCGGGAGCATCTCTGGACAGGGCTCGGGGGCAAGACCACGCTGCCTCTGCTATCCTTTCTGGAACCAACCCAAGGCTGTACTTGCCAAAAAGGGGCCCCGCAGGGAGGAGGGTGAACCTACAGGGGTAACACCCAGCCCTGTGAACAAGCTATAGCAGGAGCACTGAAGCAGATCAAGGCGCACGTCTGGGGGACAAGGAGGGTCACAGAACCAGAGCAGCCCTATCAAGCCCTGCTGTGGCTGGGCCAGGACATGAACAAGAACAGAGAATTCTGGGTGCTGTAGCCCTGGGGAAGGAAGGGCAGGTCCAGGCCAGGCAGCTCTTCCTGACTGGGTCGCAGGTGCACCTAGTAACTAGTGAGATCTGGTCTGTCCTGATGGCAAGACCCTCCCTGGGAGCCAGAAGATGCAGCCTCGGAGGCCTAGGCAGGTGTGTCCTTGAGGGCTATGCATGGTGACACCTCGCTGTCCCTCCTGGATTGGGACCACCACTCGGCACAGACAGGACTACCCCACACCTGACCTTCAGAGCTGCTGCCCACTCCACGTAGGCCCAGGCAAGTCCCATCAACCATTGGCTCCAGTGTCCCAGGGGACTGAATCTGGGAGGAAGCAAGGAGGCTGCCATTCTGTCCCTACTCCACAGTAAGTCACCAAGTTCCCAGGAGGGCAGTGCGCAAGTATATCAGGAAAGTTCTCAGGGTGCTGCCTCCTCTTGTACCCCAGATGCTGCGGTTGGGGATATGAGAGGGTGGGGCCAGGACTTACTGGTGGCCAGGCGGGGGTTGGGTACGTGAGCGATCCTCCTCTTTTCCCCAGGGGCTGAGATATGCACAGAGGAGAGCCTGTCTGTCGGTTTCGGGGCACCCTGTAGCCAGCTAGCGGAGTCCCTCTGTGCCTGCTGTGCTCGCCGGTAGCACACCTCCTGAGCAGTGGGGGGCCGTGCTGGGGGAGCCACAGGAACCCTCCTGGGGGCCTCTGTCTGAAAGAACACAGGTCCTGGAGCCCAGCTCTGAGTCCAGAGCACTCAAGGCGGGCTGGATGAGGAGCAAGTCCCCGGGTGGGGAGGACTCCCAGCCTTCCTTGGCTCTGCCCAGCAGTGCAGGGCAGCAGTGGGGCCTGTGAGCTGCCGGTGCCCATCTCCTCAGACCAACCCTTCCTTGTATGCATCTGGGACCCTGCCCCATCTCCTAGGGAGGCTCTAAGGATGAGTCCTGAGCGGTCCTGCTCCCCTAACTTTGTCACCAGAGCCCTGTGCAGGCCTCTCCTGGGTCCTTGCTGCCTTCCAGCCACAGCTGAGGCAGCCTGGCCTCGCCCCACACCTCCCTACACCGTCCCCATGACCAAGCGAGGGACAGCGGGACAGGCAGTGGACAGGGCACCAGCTTACCAAAGGCCAGCAGCAGAGGGCCTGGGATCTAGACTGGGGTGGCAGGCCTTCTCCCTCCAGCTGCCTGCCCTTATCCCAAATCTGGGTCTTACCTCCTTGCCTTGCTTGCAGAGATGTGAGACCCTCCTCTTCTGCCCCGGGAACAAAGTGGTCAGGCCTGCATGCTCCTTCTCCAAGGCCGCCTCCTTGGGGGTCTGAAAACACACATGCACTCCTCACTCTGGGTGCCTCTGTGGGTCACACTCCTGCCTTTCCACCAGACCTTAGGCAGGACCCACACCCTGTGGCCCAAGGCCCACCCCAGCACCTGTCTCACAGGCTACGACAGCAATGCCCCTGCTGCTGCCCCCACACCCAGCCCAGGATGATGGCTCAGATATGGAGTGCCAGTCAAGGGCACCCATAGGCCTGGTGCTGGAGGGAACTGACCAAGTCCATCTTTGTCTGTTCAGGGTGCGCGCCCCCTGGTGGCCAACATAGGGACATAGGAAGAAGGACACCCAGATGGATCAAGGTTGGCCTGAGCAGGCAAGCCAGGGAAAAGGGGAGGGAAGCGGGACAGAGGCCAGAAAAGGAGCAAGAGCTGGGGGGGAAGGGGGGAATTAAGAAAAGCCAAGGAGCTGGGGACAGGAAGTGTAAGGCAGGCTTGGGGCGGGAGGGCCCGGTACCCCTTTGCTGGTCAGTCTGAACAGTCAGTCGGACGCTGCCATGGGAAGCCGGCTGGGTGGGTAGAAAGCCAGCATCCTCGTTCTGGGCAGGGTGCAGGGGGGCAGCAGGCAGCCACCGAGGGTTCCTGAATTTTGGATGGAGTTAAGAGGCCGGTGCTGAAGGAATGGCTTCCGCCTGTGTTGCAGAGGCTGGAACTGGCTGGAGATAGCTGTGGGATGGAGTGTCCCCTCGCAGGGCCCTCGCCTGACGGGCTAGCGCCCTCACCTGCCGGGCCAGTCGGCCCTTGTCCTCTGCCTTCACACTGGTGGACTCATTGAAGATCCGCAGGCACTCCTCCATGGGGTCCGCATCGAAGTCCACCTCCTTCTCCAGGGCCGAGTAGTCCACATCCTCCTCTGCACACTGGCTGGCGCCCGAGGAGGAGGAGGAGGAGGACAATGGGGAGGGCGGTGCGGGGGATGTGGGTGGCACGGCCTTGAGACGCTTGGGCACCTGCGTCTCCCCCAGGCCCAGGCTGGAGTCAGAGTCTGAATCTGAGTCTGAGCTGAGGTTGGGCAGGGTGGGGGGCCAGACCTGGAGTGCCCTGGCCCCCAGGCCCGAGTCCTCCTCCTCCTCACTCTCATCCCCAAACAATTCAGCATGGCTCAGGGCCCGTTTCTTGAGCTTAGGGGTGTTCTGGGAGGCACCCTCATCCAGGGAGCGGGTCTTGCGTTCCATTAACTTCCCCGATGACGTCTTCCTAGAGCTGCCACCTTTACAGGCCAGTGTCAGGTGAGGACCAGGCCCAGAGTCTTGGGGCTGCCGACCTGGTCCTCCTTTTCCTGAGCTGGCTACTGTGGTGATGTTGGATGGCTTTTTCTTGGTCCCTTCAGAGCCCTGGGTCTTGCCCCGAGGGCTGCCAGCCTGTGACTTCTTGTCTGCACACAGCTTCTCCTTCTCCCGGGGCCGTCTTGGGTCCTTGTCTTTTTTCTTGTCTTTTTTGCGGGCCTTGTCCTTGTGCCTGAGGCTGGCCAGTGTCCCACTTTTCTTCTTCTTGGCTTTGCCATCCTTGGGGACCCCAACATCTTGAGATGCCCTAGCTGGGGAGCCAAGCTTGGCCAAGGCCACTGTGTCCGCTGCTTTGGGAGGCTGCCCAAGGTCTTCCACGTCGTACTGCACAGCCATCTCCTTGGTGCCCCGCGGACTGCCCTCGGAGGAGGCACGTTTCCCAGGTGCCTTGCTTTCAGGGTCAGCTCCAGCCTTGGGGCTGCCTGCACCAGCCTTGGGTGGGCTGGCTACATCGTCTTCTGAGTCTGAGAACCTGGCCTCACAGCCACCAAAGGGGTCACAGGGCTTCTTAATGGCAGGTGTGTAGGGCTCAGCACCCTGGGAGCCTCGTGGTCGCTTGGTAGCTCTCTCATCCCTGGCACTGACCCTGCCAAGGTGCCGAGCTGAGTAGTTGGACAGTGGGTCATACTCCAGATCTGTTGATGGCTTTGAGCTGTCCACTACGTACTTGCCACCAGACACGGGGCGGCCACAGCGGCGCGGCTGGCTGACAGCCTTGGGGATATACTCCAGGGCACTGGTGCCCCCTCCAGCTCTGCTCTGACCCCTCTCTGAAGGGGCCAGTGAGTACTTGTGAGCTGGCTCAGCAGGGGCAGCCAGTGGGGTGGGCTGATAGCCTGAGTCTGGGCTCAGCAGGCCACCTGGTGTATAGGTGAGGGCCAGAGAGAAGGTGTCATCATCATCCAGGCTCATGGCAGGGCTGCAGGGCACCAAAGCTGAAGACCCGGCACCGTGCCCCCGTGCCGTCTCCAGGAGCTCCTGGTAGCGCCTCTGCTCCAGTTCCACCTCACCACGCACAGCCTCAATGGCCTGGTTGACCAGCTCCAGCTCCAGCATGCCATCCCCTTGGCCCAGAGTGCCATTCTCCCTCTGTGCAGGAGGCTGAGGCAGCTCTGGGTTGTACGGGTCATAGCCAAGTCCTGGAAGGGAAGAGAACATGGAATAACCACTGAGTCAGCCAGCCAGAGATGGGCAAGGTAAGAGAACCAGGTTTTCACAGCCTACTGCACGCCAGGCTTGGGCCCCCAGGACATCCCTACCATGACAACATGATGCTGCTGTGTTGGGAACCACCTGCCCTATAGCAGGACCTGCGCAGAAGATGACAGAAGGGTGCCGGTGTGCATGCGTGTGTGCATGCACATGTGGGGTGGGTCTGGGTTTGGGTCTTTGCGAGCAGAGCATTGCCAGAGATGCACAGGCTTCATCCCAGCACCACACAGACCGCCATGGTGGCTCATGCCCATCACCCAGCTCTAGGAAGGTACTGGCAGGAGCAAAGTCAGGAGTTAAAGGTAAGCCTCGGCTACATAGTTCAAAGCTAGCCTGGGCTACATGAGATCCTATGTCAAAAGGGGGTGCAGAGAAGCGAGGTTCCCAAGGACCTCTTGGCATGGCCTGGAGACCAAGGTGGACACGCTACCCACAGGGCCTACCAGGAATTAATCCCACAGCTCAAGGCTCTGGCTGGCCTGCAGCCCTGCTCTCAGTCAAGTAGGTCTCACTTGGTTCAACGGCCAACTCAAGCTCCTGGGGCTCCACCTCCCCAGTGCCGTGGTCACAAGTGCACCCCGCTGCAACCAGCGTTTCTGGAGTGATCACCCTTGACTGAGTCACCTCATGCATTTTACACCTTCACAGAGGACCTGAAGGGCTGGAGGTGGCAGAGTAAGAACTCCACCGCACTGTAGACGGATCTAGCTGACACCCTAGCCCCACAGCAGGCTAGGACACCTCTGGCCTCCATGAGGGCCTGACTCACACAGCCCCCACACACACTCACATATGAAAAGTAAAAACTTTTTTTAAGCCATAATAAAGCAACTATGTAGTCCCCCCAGTAAAAGCAAGAACTGTACGACCCAACTATGAATATCAGGAAGAGGTGGGGTCCAGATACATTATTGATATCCCCTCTCCAAGCACTGTCCTCAAGGGAAGCTTGGGGGTGGAGGGAGCACCCAATTGAGCTGCAGGGTCAGGGAGGGTAGATTGTTACAAACCAGTTGGCCTTCTCAAGAGCCCATACAGTCCTGCAGAAGGGTCACACATCCAGACATGTGCAGAAAGTTCACGAGGTGACCCCACGGCAGTTCCCTATGGCTGCCTCCACCTGACATCCTGTCCTGTCCCCAGAGTCTGTGGCTGATGACCCTGAGCTGGGGACCATTCCTCATCAGCAGGGGCCTCATGCCTCCACAAGGTGGTCTCAGGGGGAAGTGGGACTGGGAATCATGGGAAGGGGCCTCGTGCATAGCAGGGTGAGGTAGGAGGACCTGGTGTCAGCCAGGCCCAGGGTCAGCTGTCTGAAGCTAACACCTGGAAAAACAAGCTCTGTCCATGAGCAACACAGCACAATAGGGGACACAGCAGGGGACTTCACATCTGCAACCTGAACGATGAAAGGTGGGGTGCTCACTCTAAGCCTCTGCTGCCTAGAAAAGCAAGGCTTGGGGACAAGAACCCAGCACACACTGGGACCCAGCCAGAGCCCACTGGCCCTGGAAGGGACTAGGGAAAACCAGGAAAAGTGAGCTGTGTCTCACTAGACCTTTAGTTACCTGCGGTGGGTTCTCACAGCGGTGCAGCCCTAGCTGGCCTCAATATGCAGCTGAGGATGACCTTGAACTTCTGATCCTTCCGCCTCCACCTCTCCTGGGTGCTGGAGTGGCACCAGGCTTGGCTGGGTTCTCAGAAAGTAACATTTCAATGATTAGAGGTAGTGGACCAGTGCAGGAGGCTGAGGTAGGAGGATCACAAGTTCAAGGACAGCTTAGGCCAGCAAGGCCCCATCTCAAAACAAAAAGGTTAAAAGTGGGTGGGGGGTTCAAAAAAGGTGCAAAGAGCCTGCATAGCACCTGGAGCCCTGGGAAGGGGAGGAAGGGGGTGAGGAGAAAGGGTGGGTAAACTACAAACTAAACCATTCAACCAGGGCTAAACTGAATGTTAGGCCCGGGGCCTCCTGCAAGCAATGCGCTACTTAAGCCCAGTGAGCGTGGGCAGGGAAGACACCCAGATGAGGGGTACTCTGCCTGGCTTTGTTATTTGGAGAATGACTTCTTATTTTGCAAGTAGAGGTCAGAGGACAGCTTGAGTTGGTCCTGTCCTTCCACCAAGTGGGTCCAGGGCTTCAACTGGCTTAGCGGCAAGTGCTGAGACATCCAATGTTCATAGCATGGGCTGTGAGAAGACCCGCCCTACACTTGGGGACACCATTGCA